TTCAGCAGTTTTTGACCAAAGGGGAATGACCCCCATATCCCACCCTCCCTATTCACCGGATCTCATCCTGAGTAACTTCTTTGTTTCTCTGGATGAAAAAAGTCCTTAAACATTTTGCTGATGTGGAAGAGGTGAAATAAACAAACAAAAAAATGGCAGAAGCACTAAAAGGTATCAAAATTGACAAATTCAAAAATTGTTTTGAGCAGTGGGAAAATGTCTCATTAGGTGTGTATTGCCTCAAATGGAAAGTACTGTGAAGTTGACTGACATTTAAACATGTGAGAATAAATACACATATTTTTATAAATAAATTTCAGGGTGTTTTGGGTCCCCCGCCCTCGTATACAGCTTTCCCTGGTTCCATCTCATTCCTGTGCACCAACCTCTGTAGCACCTACTCCATACAAGGCAATGTGCCGGGTGATGAAAGGTTCCTGAGAAGAGTAATGTATGAGTAATATCTTCCAGAGTTTATAATCAAGTTTCAGGAGGTAAAATCTTTACACGTATCAAGAGAAGTAATAGCACCTCCCAGAAAATGGTGTGAAAAGTATTAAAGATAATTAAGGATTGAGAGTTCAATGAGAAAATCACTGGAGACATTTGAAGATAAGGCTTTACAGAGGAAATGGGTTTTGGATGCTTTTGAAAAATGTGGGTAAGTGGGAGGTAGCTGAAGACAGTGATATGACTGAGTGGTGAATATGAAACATGAAAGGTGTTTGGAAGACATATGGCTGGAATGATGGATTTGGGCAGGACTAGAGTGGTGAATAAAGCCACAATGTCAAGTTGAGGCTCTCTGCATGAGGCAAATGGTTTCCTGTGCTTCAGATAGGCAGAAATGGAATACGTAGAAATGGACCATGCATGTGTGTCTGTTCATGCCTGTGTGTTCAGTTGTATATGTGCATACTAAATAAAGCATGATGTGGAGTATCTAATATTTGCTTATTATTTCATCCTTGTACCCTGCTCTTAAAAAACAACTACAAAGTGAAAAAGACTATATTTTTGCGTTCCTTTAAATTTTGGTCAGCCTATTTTGTATTCATGCAGAGTTCCCATAATTCAATAAATATCCACTTACATTAGCTGTTGAGATATTAACTATTCTCCACATAGAGTTTAGACATATTTATGTGGCTGCTGCGTGATTTATTAACTCGTTATACTATGTGAAACACAATTAGGCATTCCTATTCTGAGTATTTTGTTTGCTTCGTGTTCTGGAAAAAGAACTAGAATTCACGTATTTGTTTACTTTTCAGATACATTTTTAAATCCCCAATGCTTTTTTTATGAGTCGGAGCTATTAATGAGAGTAAAATCAACACAACTTAGCTATATAAATTCTGTCTAATAGGGCCCTTTCCATCCAGAGAGGAAGGGGGAAAAAACCCAGGAATTTGGCTTATTCTATGGCCTGTGAGTTAGGAAACATAGGCTTTGTTGACACAGGAAAGGAAGAGAAGCCCCAAGTCAGGGCCTCCCAGAGGGAAATAGTTTGTTGTTTCCTGGGGTCTGGCTTCCTGCGGGGGCCAAGTTGTTAACACAGTGCTGTTGTTCCCATCCAGAGGCCCCCTAAGAGCAGCTGGGGTGGGGGTGGGGACACAGAGGATGGTTGAAAGGTGATCAGGGTGGGGGTGTGGCCTGAGTTCTCTACGTGTTAATGCAGTTAAGTGCTCTCCAGTGCCTTTCCCACCTCATTATACTTCTAGTTACGAAACTCTTGTCAAAGAGGTGGAAGATGTGGTCCGCAGATCACCCCCATTCTTGTGACAAGTGGAATTAAGAGGCTGTCCCAGCAAGCAGATGGGAGAAAAGGGCCTGCAAGTAGCTACAGACATGGAGGGAATCAGTTCCCAGGGACTTCAATAGTTAATAATCACTTAAATTAAGTTACATTACCCAAGGCAGGAAAACACACACGCACACACACACGCCACACTTTATATATATACACATATACTACATTATATACCATATGTACAATAGTTCATTTTGTATCAATAACTCATCTCAGTAAATATGTAAGTTTATATATGTATACACACACTATATTATAAACACACATATGATACATTATATACATATATTTAATGTAGTATATGTGTATACATTATACCATCTATATTTACTATAATATATGTATATATAATATATACACATACTATTTCATATGCCATATATTTAATATATAAACATATACTATACTATACGTACATATGTCACATATGTACTGCATTATACACCATATATATTTAAGTAATTTTTGTATCAACAACTCACCTAACAGTACATAAGCTTGGCCATGAGTTCCGTCCCTTTGAGGTATGTGAGGAGGAGGAGAGCGGGGGCAAGACCGAGTGGAAAGAAGTACTCGGGAGTCTGTCTGGTGCAAATTTCCTGGGTAGGGGCAGTGAGGAAACAACAAACTCAAAGGCATTTGGTGGAGCAAAAACATTTTTGACCGTGGAACAAACACAGTTCTCCTGATCACACAAAACGAAAAGAAATGAAATGACACAAAAATCTAAGCTCCCTGATCATGGCAGGCCACGGTTCCCGACGGGATCCCTGAGACCTGGCCCATCCTGAACAAGGGCCAAACTCAGCTTCTTCCCCTCTCGTACACCTGCATGCCTTCAAAAGTGTGTACACTTAACACACAAAGTCCAAATTTACACAGATGTTCTACTGCATATTTATTATCTACTTTATAAAAGTATTTGTTTTCTTATCAAATCGACTGCTACATTTGAACAATTACTCTACTTACAACTGGCTGATTATTTCAGGGACACACCAGTTACATTGATTGAGGCAGGATGATGGACGTGTTTTCCCAATGTGAGTAAATCTAATTTTGATTAGCTGAATCAGATATTCAATTTCCTGGGAGAGTTGTTCATTTGAAAGGACCCAAAGGTGAATTCTTTTGGTAAAGTATAAACTCGTTCTGAATGGTGAAAAATTTCTGTGAAACCTGATGACAACTTCTCTTGGCCAGAAAGAAGTGCTTGTCAAGTTTCCCAATAGCAGAGTCTAAGTGAAGCCGAGAGAGCAGCTCGAGTGGGGGCGGGGGGCGGGGAGTCAAGGAAAGAGCAGGTGATGGGAGGCGGTGGGCAGATCATCAAGCAAGTCTGTATGGATTTCTAACCTTGGCTAAAAAATGGATGCGTGGTTTCCAAACACAAAATTATGTGTGCCTGTATTTTATTTTTCAGATTTCGACACTGAGTTTTCCTCATGCATGTGCTAGCTGCATTTCAGAAAATGAAAATGCACTGTCAGCTACACACGGAGAGCAGTCCATAGGAAATTGCACATTATATACAAAGGCAGGATAAATGGTACTTGAAAGCCTTAAGAAAAGACGAGGAGGGCACTGAGAGGAGTGTGTAGCCTGAGAAGAGATGACAAACCCCTGGGAAGCACCAACAGTTAAGGCATGGTGCAGGAGACTGAGACAGGGGTTTCTGAAAGGAGGAGAAAATCCGGGCGAGTGTAGTATTACAGGAACCCAGCAACAGAGCCTTTCAAGGAGAGAGTGGTCAGCCGGGTTAATGGTTGCAGATCAGTCAAGTTAGATAAGGTCTGAGAGGCATCCTAAGACTCAGCCACCATGAGATCATTGGGGACCACTGACAACCCAGTGGCAGTGTGAAAGGACAATGGACTTGGAAATAGGTGACCCATGCCTCCTGAACCTCAACTGTCCCACAGAGACTGTTGATCATTAATTAGTGGCTCTCACATCAAAACTGGACTCCCTTGGAGCTCCTGAAGAGAAGGCAGTGTGTTGCTGTTTAAGAGCAATGTGCTCAGAGACACCAAGCATGGGGATGGCAAAGATGTCTTCCTGTGATAAATACAAAGGTAATTTTGTATGGACTTAATGAAGCATCTCAACCTGCCTGTAAAAGAAGTTTTCTGACCAGTAAATTCTCTACTTTTCTCAGTAAATAATTGTGAATCTGTTGGTTATTCTACATGCCAGTGACACCACCAGAGTCTGAGATTATTTGTAGATAATGCTTAGTTCTCGTCTCTTCCAAAGCAATTTCCATGTCCTTGTCACTTGAGAATTCCTAAGTCTATATAAATTACATGTATGCATTGGTGATTCATTTATTCACCATTTATTTAATCAACAAGCATTTACTGAAAAGATGCACTATTTGGGGCACTGTGGGAAATAACCAGGATGAGAAAGGAATGTACCTAAACAACTGGCTAGATTAAGTGAAATAGGTAATAAATAACTACACACATCTTTAAGATGAATCCAAGCAAATTCTTAGAATATAAGTAAAATCATAATTAGATCTCACGCAGGGTGTGAGGCTTCATTCAAAATATTTCAAGTAAGAAGGTATGTTAAGGTGCCCTTGGCTTTCCTCTCTTTCACTATTCTTATATATATTATTTCTCAAATCCTTAAACATTTTCGGCTTTGTTGAAATCATTTTCAAGCTTTTCAAATCCAAGAGTCCGACCAGGGCTGCTGTAAACGCAAAAATTAATATATAAGTGGTTCTCAAATGAGTATGACACTGTGTAGTGTTTGGTGAGCACTGGTGTGTGGGAAGGCAGACAGACCCTTTTTCCTGTGGCGGCGAATGTCATGGACTGTGGTTGAGGTCAGAACGCATGATGCTTCTGATGGATGGGCAACAACAGTTTGGCCCCCCAGTCATGCTGGGAGGATTTCCAGACAGCACCGCCAAGGGTGTGCATATCCTGTTTCAGCCTGCAAAGGTATCACCATTAAGGCAAACATAGCTGACAAGCAAAAGGTGATGCAAAACTGCCCAATGTGGCTTGGGAAGTTGATTAACTGTTATTTCCTGATCTATAAATCACCAATCTCCATCCTCTCTGTGTGCTATCCATAAAATATTGGCTGTGGCCTTTGTTATACAAGGACATCTCATTTTTTATAATGAACTTGTAAATAATAATCCATATCCTACAATGAAAGAGTACCCTATTGTAGCTTCGGCAGCATGTATATTAAAATTGATGATACAGAGAAGATTATTAGCATTGTCCCTGTGCAAGGATGGCATGCAAATTCATGAAGTTTTACATATTTTTGGAGGGATTAAAAAAAAAACAACTTGTGGACATGGACAAGGTGGTGACTGCCGGAGCAAGAGGGGTATTAGGGTACTAAATAGTAATGGAAAGACATAAGATTGTATTTTTTTTAAAAAAAGAGGAAAAGAAAGAAAGAGTGGCCTACTATAAATCATGCAAAAGTGGGTCACATATTTAACAGCTTTGGTAGTTTAGGAACATGCTACATATGCATATACCTGCCTGTCACAGTAAGCACTGCATTGAGGCTTCAGATCTCAGAATATTTATTTGCATTAGTTTGCCAATAAAGTTAGTATGTAATCAAAGAAAGGTCCTCCTTATTAATCACCTCTTCTTAAGGAATAATAATGATGATGCTAACATACAAGCAGAACACTTTCAAATTATAAAAAAAACTTTCATACACATTTGATCATTTGATTCATATAACAATCAGGTATAATTTCCCCTACTCGAAAGAGGAGGAAAGTAAGATCCAAAGGGAATAATTTTCCCAAGTTCACACCATGGATAAATAACAGAAATGCAACCAGATTGCAGGAACAAAACTTTCAGTAGCTTACTAAAGGTTGTCTATTGAGGATCTTTTTATTACTAAATGAGATTTGCAGACTAGTAATATCAGCATCTCCTAGGAATTTGTTAGCAAAGCAGAATCACTGACTCCACTCCAGGATGGCTGAATCAGAATCTGCATTCACACAAGATCAGCACATGATTCACGTATATGTTAAAATTTGAAAATGAGTGAAATAATTGCATGAATAATTATTCAATGAATGATTGAACAAAAGCATCATTTATCCATTTATTCAGCACATTTGACAAGTACCTGTTAAGTAATACTTAGCAAATAACTATGATTTGATAAGTTTAATTGGTAACAGTAGCAAATTTAACTTGTTGGAATTACTAAAACATTCAGGTTTGGCTCTATCTATAGCTCTCTACTTGCTGAATGATTTGGATTGATTTCACAGGTCAAGTCAGTCAAACAACTAAAAGTTTTGCCAAAGACAGTGACACTAGCATAATTGTTTAAAAGGTAATAATGCCCTTTGAACTGCTACTTTTCTTTAACAATTTACAGGTCTGCCTCACCGACTACACACAAGGCCAAGAGAGGCCTCTTGTGACCAACTGTGACCTCTCTCACACATTGGAGAGAGGTCACAGTTGGGACCCTTCAGAAGTCAACAATGGATTTACCATTGAGCAGACACTCAAAAACAGCCAAATGAATTAATGAATCACTAAATGAGTACTTTGGGGAGGTGAGAAGATTATTCCAGATATTCTTTGCATAATATTCCCTCATTTACCTTAGTTAAATATTTAGCTAGCTTTCTTAAGAAACAAAATCTCCTGAATAGATTTCCTCTTAATTTCTGTAAAAGGTCTGCTGATTATTGCTGTAACTGATTACTGTTGCTAATTATTTAAGTAACAGTTAATTCACTTTTTAGAATTTTGAAAAGGGTGATTAAAAGAAGTAATTACTCAAAGTTTATTTAAAACAAGGAAATATCAGGGAGACATTACACTGGAAATGAAGATGGATTCTGAATTGGAATACTACCTCAAGAGTATGTAACTGGTAAAGACCTCAAGCTTATTGTCCTTTATTAATAGCAGTGTTTTTTCTGTAGCACACTGGATGCTTTTCCTTTCTCTCATTCACCCCTTATTCCATTATTTTATCTTCAGTCCAGTCATCAGTCGTCTTATTCAGAGCCCATGTAAGTAAATGTTAGCTTTATGACTACATCTTCTCCTTTTGCTTTAGTTTGTATTAATGCCAAAGCTTACATGTATTTTTTCATCTTTTCATCACCTAAAGCACAGCACACATTTGCTTTATTCAAATATATTATATCTAGATAACAACAATGAAGACTAACATCATAGCCAATTTGGCCATTCTGGAGGTTTGGAGGGTCACAAGGGTTATCATATGCCAGCAGCAACTGATCACCAATCTATGAACAACATGGTCTGAGTTTTGAATCAACTATTCTGTGGATGATGTTGCTGCACATGGCCTTATTGTTTCTATAAATAGCTTTCATTCAGGACGGTCTGATCCTTGGCAGCTGACATTCCCAATCTTAATGGGCCATTTTAACAGTCTCCACATTAAGAACTATATAAAAAACTCATTTTTCTTCATGCCTGTGAAATTATAAAATTAAAGCTTTAGATTTATTGCTAACAATATACAGGCTTCTATTGCAATAGGTGTTATGTTGAATTAACAGAGATGCCACACATCTATAAATAGCTTTTTGTTATGGCATAATAAAATGTTTTGTAGTCAATGGAAGTTGCTGAATGTTATACAGATTTGGAATTCCCTGTAAAAGTCCAGGAAAAGACATTAAATTCATGATGCTTTAAGAAATGTAAAATCTGATTTTTATCTCTGCCACTGACTTCCCATTCAGCTTAGAGAAAAATAATAAAATCATAAGGTGAAGACATTATCTAAATTAGCAAGTACATGTATTTTCACTTTGTATGCTGGTAACTTCCTAAAAGACTTAATTGACTTACAGATTGAAATTCCAGAAGAATAGAACATAAAAAGAAAACAAATATTACAATAATTTTTTAAAAGAACTTAAATGCACTGGTGTCTTCACCGATTCCAATATTTGGACATTATCCCTGGCTATGTTATTTTGGGAATAAAAACAAAGGCAGAAATGCATCTATAGTCTTTTAAGTCCTCCCAACCAAATTTTCCAAGAAATCTGTGCATTTATATATTTCAAAAACTCAATCCTGCCTCCAAATGCCAGACAGAAAAAGCTGGGTTTCTGTCTATCATGATCAGTTGCCACTGTTTCTGCTGCGGCTTCCTGGTCTCATGAGCTGCTACCTATGGCTGTACCCTTTGTTGGTTAGGCAGTGTAACATGCTGGGGACTCTAAGCTTACAGCTGTGTTTAGTTTATGTACCCAGGCTTAGCCATTCTTCCTGAAGCATGTCAGTTGTGTAAGGGTACCTGGACCTAGGAAAATTCTAGCTTTAGCCACAAGATGGGCCATTACTATCTCCCTCCAAAAACCTCAGCCATCACAGAATTCTTTTTCTCTATGAGCTTATTCTGGGGCCCCTGGGTGTACTTTTCTCCCAAGGACTCTTATAAATTGTTTTTAATTTTTTAGAGAGAGGGGAAGGGAGGAAGGAGGGAGAGAGAGAAAGGTCGATGTAAGAGAGAAACATCAATTAGTTGCCTTTCATAGGCAGCTCCAACTGAGAATCAAACCAGCAACCCTTCAGTTTGCACAATGACGACACAACCAACTGAGCCACACCAGCTGGGGCACTTCCAGTGACCCTTAACCAGGGTTATTCCTAACAGTAACAGTGAAGCTCAGATGAGTCTTATTACTTCTTCTGAGAAGATTTTTGATTCTATGTATGTTTACCCACTTTCTCCCCAAGACTCAGCATTGTGTACCAAGAGATATTGGGAGAAGCTGGTTTTTGAAGCTTTGAAGCATCACTTAAACATATCCCAGGAAAATAAGTGACTAATAAAATAGACTTATGCTTCATTTGTTTGTACAACAAATATTGTGAGTGCCTCCAATCAGCCAAGGTACTATTGTAGGCTTCCAAGAAACAGCGATGAATAAATCTGGCCAAGTCTTTGCAACCATGGAGTTTATATTCTAGTGAAAAGATAAACAAAAAGAAATATGGAGATATTTAATGCCAGGCAGTGACAATATTATGAAAATAAATGGGCTAGAGAACGAGACAGATAGAGTTGTCACAGAAGGACAACAGCATTGAGTGAAATGAAGGAGTAAGCCATGTAGCTTCTGAAAAGAAAAAAACAGAGAATGACATGGGCACAGGCCTGAAGTCAGTGCATGCTTGGCAAGCTCACAGAATAGCCAAGAGACCAGTGTGTTGGAGCAAATGAGCATCACAGAAGCGGCAGCTGATGTCAGAAAGACAGGGCGAAAAGTGTAGGAACTTGAAGATGATGGTAAGAACTCTGGATTGAATTCTATGTGATCTGGGAGACCTTTCGGCTTTGCGATGACTGATACAATCTAATTAGGGTTTTAGAAGAAAACTCTATGATTAACTGGAGACTAAAGTGTGGGGCATGGAGCAGTGGGGGTAACAGAGGAAACAGGGAGAACAGCAGGGGCAGCAGAAAAACAAGAGGACTGATCATTTGCCGTTAGATTTAACACAATGGAACTCATTGGTCACTTTGACAAGCGTAGCTTCACTAAACAGGTAGAACCAAAAACTTTTCATACAGACCTCTCTGCTCACTACTTCTACCATGAGCTGGCTTTGAGATTCTAGTGAAATTCTTTAATTTAGCATAGCACTTTTTAAATTGGACAATAACTTCATGCCAAGAACTACACTTCTTACTAGAGATACCATAGATTAATAAAGCATTGGTTATCATTTATCACCAGGCAGGAAGGATAGACCTGTAGAATGGTAAATTATAACCCAATATAGTAAAGACATTATCTTCTTATTGGAATGAAATGTGTATAATAGGAGCTCAATCACTTCTCGCCATGTGAGTTTAACCCATCTGAAAACTGTCAGAGGCCTAGGAAACACATCAAAACCTGTTCTTTTCTCCCCCAATCTGTATAAAATATTTATTAAAAGAGAACCTACATTATTAAATAGTTTTACATATAGTAGTCTCACATTTGAAAGATTGGTCTAATTGCTTTGCAATTATTGGCTATTGCCCCATCTCATTCATGCACAGGACTTATATGGGGTGATGTGGTTTTCATTTCCTGGAACAGAAGAGAAGGCAATGTAAAGAATGAAAAAGGGGAAGGACTGTGCTGTAGCAAAGACCCTTGCAAATCTAGGCCAGGGTGTTTATGTCACCAAACAACACAAGAGCCTAATAAACCAAGCAAAAGGACATACCTGAGTGACCACAGCATAACCCTTTCAAATAAACACCCTGACTGACTTATCTGAACGCT